GGATGTTATGGGATGGTGAAAAAATATGGACACATTTAGGCTGTTAACGATGGTGATAAATTGTAGACACAATAAGGACGTTAGAGAGGATGATAAAATATGGACACAATTAGGCTGTTATGGGATGGTGATAAAATATGGACACATTTAGGCTGTTAAAGATGGTGATAAATTGTAGACACAATAAGGACGTTAGAGAGGATGATAAAATATGGACACAATTAGGCTGTTATGGGATGGTGATAAAATATGGACACATTTAGGCTGTTAAAGATGGTGATAAATTGTAGACACAATAAGGACGTTAAAGAGGATGATAAAATATGGACACGATAGGATGTTATGGGATGGTGATAAAATATGGACACATTTAGGCTGTTAAAGATGGTGATAAATTGTAGACACAATAAGGACGTTAGAGAGGATGATAAAATATGGACACAATTATGCTGTTATGGGATGGTGATAAAATATGGACACATTTAGGCGGTTAAAGATGGTGATAAATTGTAGACACAATAAGGACGTTAGAGAGGATGATAAAATATGGACACAATTAGGATGTTATGGGATGGCGATAAAATATAGACACATTTAGGCTGTTAAAGGTGGTGATAAATTGTAGACACAATAAGGACGTTAGAGAGGATGATAAAATATGGACACAATTAGGCTGTTATTGGATGGTGATAAAATATGGACACATTTAGGACTTTTGAGATGATGATAATATATGGACACATGACTATAGAGACGATAATAAAATATGGACACAGGACTTTAAGGACAATAAAATATGGACACAATTAGGACGTAAGAAATGATGATAAAGTATGGACACAATTAGATCGTAAGAAATGATGATAAAATATGGATACATTTAGGATGTAAGAAATGATGATAAAATATGGACACAATTAGGACGTACGAAATGATGATAAAATATGGACACAATTAGGACGTAAGAAATGATGATAAAATATGGACACAATTAGGACGTAAGAAATGATGATAAAATATGGACACAATTAGGAAGTAAGAAATGATGATACAATATGGACACAATTAGGACGTAAGAAATGATGATAAAATATGGACACAAATAGGACTTAAGAAATGATGATAAAATATGGACACAATTAGGAAGTAAGACATGATGATACAATATGGACACAATTAGGACGTAAGAAATGATGATACAATATGGACACAATTAGGACGTAAGAAATGATGATAAAATATGGACACAATTAGGACGTAAGAAATGATGATACAATATGGACACAATTAGGACGTAAGAAATGATAATAAAATATGGACACAATTAGGACGTAAGAAGATGACGATAAATTATGGACACAATTATGATGTAAGAGATGATGATACAATATGGGCTCATTTAGGACGCTAAAGATGATCATAAAATTATGACACAATGACAAAATGCTTAAAGGTACTGAACCAGTGTTTTTAATTTTTTTTAAAAGGGGATGCGTGGGGAAAAAAAGTGATTGGGGGAAGGGGGGGGGGTCTTTCCTTTATGTAATCCAAGAACTCCGAGATAAACATTAAAGCAAAGATTGAAAGCCATTTTCATCGGTCGCTTTTTGTGAGCACGTCAATTTAATGATGCATACAAAATACAGAGGTTGATTTTTTGTGTGTTAGTTATTGTTTTTGTTTGGTGAGGGTGGTATTATGAATAAAATCTCTTGTACAGATTTCGATTGGCGTGACTGCTTCCAATTCCCAACCAGTCCTACCCTACTCAACTGAGTGAAAAAAATGAAATGCTACCAAGCAGCGAGTGTCATGTCATGCATGACGGTTGAACTCAGGTAAAACGGGTCATTATTTTCGGAGGCGACGATTAAATTAGTCAATGAAGAGCCACAGGTAGGGCGTGTAGGGTGTAGGACTGTCTGTTTGAGTCTAACTATTGTTAAAATGCCGGCAGGTAGGGCGTAGGACTATCTGTTTGAGTCCAACAATTGTTAAAATGCCGGCAGTTAGGGCGTAGGACTATCTGTTTGCGTCTAACTATTGTTAAAATTCCGGAAGGTAGGGCGTAAGACTATCTGTTTGAGTCCAACAATTGTTAAAATGCCGGCAGGTAGGGCGTAGGACTATCTGTTTGCGTCTAACTATTGTTAAAATGCTTGCAGGTAGGGCGTAAGACTATCTGTTTGAGTCCAACAATTGTTAAAATGCCGGCAGGTAGGGCGTAGGACTGTCTGTAAGAGTCCAACTATTGTTAAAATGCCGGCAGGTAGGGCGTAGGACTGTCTGTAAGAGTCCAACTATTGTTAAAATGCCGGCAGGTAGGGCGTAGGACTATCTGTTTCTCAGGTTGATAACAATTTTACGGCCGTCCATCCGCGTAGGACTGTCTGTTAGAGTCCAACTATTGTTAAAATGCCGGCAGGTAGGGCGTAGGACTATCTGTTTGAGTCCAACAATTGTTAAAATGCCGGCAGGTAGGGCGTAGGACTGTCTGTTTGCGTCTAACTATTGTTAAAATTCCGGAAGGTAGGGCGTAGGACTGTCTGTAAGAGTCCAACTATTGTTAAAATGCCGACAGGTAGGGCATAGGAGTGTCTGTTAAGGGCAAACTATTGTTAAAATGCTTGCAGGTAGGGTGTAGGACTATCTGTTTGAGTCTAACTATTGTTAAAATGCCGGCAGGTAGGGTGTAGGACTGTCTGTTAGTGTCTAACTATTGTTAAAATGCCGACAGGTAGGGCATAGGAGTGTCTGTTAGAGTCTAACTATTGTTAAAATTCCGGCAGGTAGGGCGTAGGACTGTCTGTAAGAGTCCAACTTTTGTTAAAATGCCGACAGGTAGGGCATAGGAGTGTCTGTAAGAGTCCAACTATTGTTAAAATGCGGCAGGTAGGGTGTACGACTGTCTATAGGCCTATTGTTTAAAGGCCGGCATATATTATAGAAAATAAGAAGTTAACTTTTTTTGTGTGTAACACTTGGACCCACCAGGTATTTTCTCAAAATAACCGCACCTGGTGTAAAAAACTTTCCCGAGTTAAGCCCTGGTAACTATTAATTTCTAAACGTATGCAGGTACACGAATCAGGCCAATAAGAAATATAGGGAGTTAAAAAAATATAAATCAAGTTAAAACTTTCATCTCATTTTATAATTGAATTTAATCAACTCAAGTTCATCGACTTCAGTATGTTTGCACCTGTGTATGTGCGCCACTTCAGTGTGTTTGCACCTGTGTATGTGCGCCACTTCAGTATGTTTGCACCTGTGTATGTGCGCCACTTCAGTGTGTTTGCACCTGTGTATGTGCGCCACTTCAGTATGGTTGCACCTGTGTATGTGCGCCAGCTTCTCTGTAGGCATGCTTCGTGCATGCCCACACAATTATTTTAGTATTTTTGTTGATGACCGCTGTGGGTGGTTGAAACGTAATTCTATTTCTGGCACCAGGCCAAATAGATGTACCCGCACTGTTATCTCAGTGAACAATGACACACAGTTAAGCCAGGGTCGATCATCACAGTTAAATCAGAGGCAACCATCACAGTTAAATCATGGACAATCTTCACAGTTCAACCTGGGTCAATCATCACAGTTAAATCAGAGGCAATCAATATTTGAAATTTCTTACATTTAATATAGCTATCATTTTGTTATTATATAATAGCAACTTAAAGAACTATGACGGGGCAGACATTGAAACTCAAACAAATTAAATTAGAACACGCCCGAAGGCGTTTGACAGAGACGCCATGGTGTAGGAAACTGGGGGTCGTCATAGGTCACCGATAGCTCAGAGGAAGTCACGGAATGCTCAGAGGAAGTCACGGAAGGCGCAGGGGAAATCACCGAGTGTTCCGAGAAGACACCGAATGCTCGGGGGAAGTCACAGAATTCTAAAAAAAAAACAACAACAAAACAAACAAGGGGGGGGGGGGCAACATCGTCAATATTTTTGTATAAACAAAAGAGACGCTGACATTCGTCCAGTGACACATTCAATCAAAAGTTATTTTATTAAACGATATATTAACATTTCATGATAATTATGTATCTAAAGTATTTTTGAAACAATAATCTTTTGAACAATCCTATAAAACAATGCGAAAATATTTTATGTTATCAAAGTGTCATCATGGCAGAAAGTTATCAGCATGCATGCATTGCAACCAGGGGCGTACCTTGGTTAAATTCCCCCTTGGCTAAATTCCACCTTGACTAATTTCCATCTTGAATAAATTCCACATTGACTAAATTCCACCTTGACTAAATTCAGCCTTAAAAAAACTACACTTTGACTAAATTAAACTTTGACCAAATTCCACCTTAAATAAATTCCACCTTGACTAAATTCCACCTTGACTAAATTCAACTTTGACCAAATTCCACCTTGACTAAATTCCACCTGACTAAATTCAACCTGGACCAAATTTCACCTTGACTAAATTCCGCCTTGACTAAATTCAACCTTGACCAAATACCACCTTGACTAAATTCCACCTTGACTAAATTCAACTTTGACCAAATTCAACCTTGACTAAATTAGACCTTGACTAAATTCAACCTTGACCAGTTTCCACCTTGACTAAATTTCGCCTTGATTAAATGCAACCTGACCAAATTCCACCTTGACCAAATTCCACCTTGACTAAATTCAACCTTGAACAAATTCCACCTTGAATAAATTCCACCTTGACTAAATTCAACCTTGACCAAATTCCACCTTGACTAAATTCCACCTTGACTAAATTCCACCTTGACTAAACTCCACCTTGACTAAATTCAACCTTGACCAAATTCCACCTTGACCAAATTCAACCTTGACTAAATTCCACCTGGACTAAATCCACTTTGATTAAATTCCAATTTGAGTAAATTCCCCCTTAACTAACGTATAGACTGCTTTCACTTCAATGTCAGTTAAAAACATGTGTAAAGTTAGCAGTTTGTTTGATGTGCAGCGTGTCATGGATTTTGTTGTTGTCCTCATTCAGGAAATGGCCGTTTGGATGAAGCTCGTTGTTTTTGTTACGTTGCTGGTAACAACTTCTGGAGCCAATCAAAATGACTGCATGGCCCCCCTGCTGGACGTCTCGTCCGTATTTGGGCTAGGAAATGTCAGTAGCCCCTCCCTCGCGGAAATACCTGGAGAGACCAACCAATCATGTATCGACAGATGCTGTCAATCAGGTGCGTACACATCAAGTCAGAGGATTAAACGCTCAAATGTATGTCGAATAAAGACATTGGTTACGTGTATGAGAGGTTAGAAGAAGGTGCACAAACATTCAACATATCTCTATCATCATTGAAAACACATTTCACGTGCATACATATTTGAACACAAATTTTGCACATGCCCAGCATTCGGTGTAAGCAGCTGACAAAGTTACGAAAATAATTAATTTTTAACCTAAACTTGTATGTTATGTGAATTCACGTGAGCTTTCTTTAACTTGTTGTGTAATCTTTCAGATTCATGCAACATTGTCAAATTCATACTCTCCACTTCTGACGCGAGCCCAAACTGTGTTCTATATTCATGTCAACCAACAAACTCATGTTATTTAGCCTCAGCAGACGACATCCAGTTTTTCATACGTCAACAGCCACCAGAGCTAATCACGCTTGATCCCCCTGGCAGCACTGATGACACATTGTCTGCTCCCAGTGGAGATGTTTCAACATTGACTTCACCCAGAGCGACGCCACTGTCGCCCGAACCGCAAGAGCAAATTGAAAATACGACACTGAATTCAAGTGTCCAAACATCGCCACTAATCACACTTTCCAGTGACCCACAAGATGTAGTGGTAGACAACTCTGACACCCAGTCCTCAGATACATCGTCTCCCATTAACCAATCTTCAGACGCTCTGGCTTCTAGCGTGACGTCTTCGAATTCCCCTGCTTCAAGCATGCCAGCTTCGGATATACCAGGAACAGCGAATTCTTTAATGACTGTTGACGTACCAAGCTCACAACCCACTGATTCACCAAGCTCACCATCCACCGACTCACCAAGCCTACCATCCAATGAATCACCAAGCCTACCATCCAATGAATCACCAAGCCTACCATCCAATGAATCACCAAGCCTACCATCCAATGAATCACCAAGCCTACCATCCAATGAATCACCAAGCCTACCATCCAATGAATCACCAAGCCTACCATCCAATGAATCACCAAGCCTACCATCCAATGAATCACCAAGCCTACCATCCAATGAATCACCAAGCCTACCATCCACTGAATCACCAAGCCTACCATCCACCAATTCATCTAGCGTACAATCCATCGACTCGTTAAACGTATCATCTGCTGATTCCCCAAGCTTACCACTGGCCGACTCACCAAGCCTACCACTGGCCGACTCACCAAGCCTGCCACTGGCCGACTCACCAAGCCTGCCACCCACCAACCCGACAAACGTACCATCCACCGATGCTACAAGCGTGCCATCCAATGACTCATCAAACACACCATCCACAGACGACTCCGCCAACAGCATACTCTCTGCGCCGCCACCAGACAACGAAACCACTTCAGAAAATGTCCAACTCTCAATAAACCCGACACTAACAACCGGATCTACAACGACCAACGCAACTTCCTCTGCTGGCACGGTGCCCAGCGAGATGAGTGTCTCAATAACCTTGCCGCCGGTCAACATCGAAGAAACAAATATATCACAGCCCAGCATTGCGTCAATAGAACCACAGGGTACCCCGGACCAACAGGTGACGTCAGACTCAAAGGTTCCAGATAACGCTGAGTTGCGTAGAGTTTCTAGCCCTGTGACGTCGCTGGACTCAACCGCCATCTTAAACGATACTGCCGAGCCGATGGATGGAAATAGAATACCTGTTAATGGCGAGGAAAGCCTGAGCGGTGGTGATGGGAGTGCCGTGTCCACAGGTAAGGAAAGACATTAAGGGAAAACTTACATCTTTAGCTGAGTGTACACCCTTATGAAACATTATTAATACTGGAAGTCTAAGACTATTACTATTTAACATTTAAGTTTAGTGGAGTTTTTTAAAAAGATTTTTAAAAATAGAATAATCAGTAACTAGAAAGACGACAACTTTCTAAGGAACAACAACTACAACACAGATGATATCAAGTGCAGCAGCAACAATCACAGCGTAACATTTAATGCCAACTCCAAAATGCCCAGTCTGAAGTCAAGCAACAATACTAATAGCTTCTTCCTACTGTTAATTTTCAGGTGCTACTACAGAGATCTACCCTACAGTCATCCCCACTGCAACATCTGATACGTTTGCAACATCAGCTACATCTGCAACATCAGCTACATCTGCAGTATCAAAAGTTCAAAGCTATGAAGAACTGTCCAAGAATGCGACATCTTCAACAAGTGGATTGCTTCCGCGAGGGATTTCTGAAGCTATGCTGGCCCTCTTGGTGTGTTCCTTGACCTTCGGCTGCGTGTTTCTGTTGACTGTTGTCGCCGTCCTTGGTAAACGGATCTACGATGGTTACCAGAAGCGTCATTACTCTCGCCTGGATTATTTAATAAACGGAATGTACAACTGATTTAAATGCTGATTTGTTTATTTTTACAAAGGAATAACATATTTTAAATATAGATGGCCCACCTGGTTTGACGCTTCCAACTTAAATGCTGTGTAACTAATGGTGAATTTGTTGGTGTGTAGAGTTAAAATGTTGTTAAGTTATTAGTAATATAAATCGCATTGAGTTTTCTTCAATAATTTATAACATTTCTTTGAAAATAATTTATTAAACAGGTATTTTATAGAAATGGTGGTGCCATAAACTCATCCCTAGTGCCCCTGTTATGCCATAAAATCATCCCTAGTGCCCCTGTTATGCCATAAACTCATCCATAGTGCCCCTGTTATGCCATAAAATCATCCCTAGTGCCCCTGTTATGCCAAAAAATCATCCTTAGTGCCCCTGTTATGCCAAAAATCATCCCTAGTGCCCCTGTTATGTCAAAAAATCATCCTTAGTGTCCCTGTTATGCCATAAACTCATCCCTAGTGCCCCGGTTATGCCATAAACTCATCCCTAGTGCCCTTTTTATGCCATAAACTCATCCCTAGTGCCCTTTTTATGCCATAAAATCATCCCTAGTGCCCCTGTTATGCCATAAACTCATCTCTAGTGCCCCTATTATGCCATAAACTCATCCCTAGTGCCCCTGTTATGCCATAAACTCATCCCTAGCTTACTTTAAGAATTTGTTGGAGATCTTGTACACGGCCCTATAGGGGAAATAATAGCGCGATGAAATTTGAAATAGAAACACACTTGTTATAGCTCGCCAAACATTGGCGAAAGCAATGCGTGAACTTCGCATCTACAAAATTATTTGAAAAAACATGAACTCAAGTAATGCAAATTAAAGAATCCCAATTATTTTCCCTACGCCACCCCCCCCCCCTCCCCCAATAATACGTCACTGAACACTTTTTATTTCACGCCCTTAAACTATATTAATATTCTGATGTCCAACTACTACAAAATTATTTGAAAAAACATGAACTCAAGTAATGCAAATTAAAGAATCCCAATTATTTTCCCTACGCCCCCCCCCCCCCCTCCCCCAATAATACGTCACTGAACACTTTTTATTTCACGCCCTTAAACTATATTAATATTCTGATGTCCAACTTGATGCAACTATTATGTGCAATGTTGAGAGCTTTTATTCACCAAACAAAAAAAAGAGAAGGATTGCACCAGCGATGACCACTGCAAAGAAAATGACCACAGCTTAGCTGAGATTCATCTGTGGCGCCTTCAGGACCACACCCACAGCTGCTGTAGTGGTCTTGGCCAATGTAGAACCGCTACAAATCAGGAGGCAAAAGTCAATATTAAGTATCGCAGAGAGGTACCGGCGGCTGGACAAAAACGAACCGGCCTTCTAAATGCAGAATAACTGGGTTGGTGGCAGACGACTAAAGAGGTCCTCTTTCATGCACCAGGTCGTGGAGCTGGAAAGGACAATCGCCCTGCCCCAAAATAGAGAAAGTCTGACCCTGATCTCAGTTTAATCCGCCGTATGCGGAGCCCTCACGTCCCTCTAAAGATTTGGCCTTGACTGATGCAGCAGTGACGAAACGCAGCCCTGAACAAGTTCAGAAAGCGGCTGCCCTTGAGACCATGGGTGTGTTCGCACACATACCAGTGAAAGTGTTCACGGACGGCTCTGCTAACTTGAGAGAAAGAACTGCTCGGTACGTTGCGCTCATACTGTATCCAGCGGGAGGACCACCAACAGAAGAGCTCTTGGGGCCCTGTGGGACTGCAGCATCAAATTTCGATGTGGAGCTCATAGCTATACAAAGGGCCTTGGAGAGAATTCATGACACATTGAAAGGGACGGAACATGCGGGGCTTGATGTAGTTGTCTACTCAGACTAAAGATCTGCTCTCGAGATCTTGGGAAAGAGACAGGGTACCACACACTTGCTCGGCGTCATCACCAATGACGTGTGCAAAATTGGTGAACTAGGGGGCAAGGTAACAATACAGTGGATACCTGACCACGTCAACATCAGTGGCAATGAGAGAGCGGACACTCTGGCGAAAATTGGGGCTGCCCAGCCTCAGCCAGAAGTACCAATGACTTATTTGGGAATTAAAAACTTGCTGGCGGACCACTTCAGGCAGAAGTGGTACAGGCAATGGGCGGACAACACGACCGCCAGAGGCATCTATTCAAACTTGCCTACTCCTAGCAAACAAGACCCATGGTGGGGGTTAGGTCGCAGACAGCAGAGCTTTGTGACGCAGATGCGCACCGAGCACTGCCCCTTGCGCAAACTTTCTGGCGGCTGGATAACAACAGGGATCCTACCTGCCGGCATTGCAGCCTGGCCCCAGAGACCTTAGAGCACCTGTTGACCGAATGTCCCTCACTAGATCTCCCGGGGGAAGCCAGGGCGGTTGGAGGACCCTTTGTGAGGAAAATGTTGTATGGCTCAGCTCACCAGATGGAGTTGATAGCCAATTTACTAAATTTACAATTTACTAGAGTAATCTCAGACCCTCACCAGAATATGTGTGTTAGTTAGTTACAGGATTATTGTGAATAATTAGGGGATTGTAAACTTTTGAATTAGAATAACGAGGAAATATGTGACACGGATTTAACAGGCATTTTTAATTTGTTAAAGCAATTTTATTGTTGCTGTAGATTTATAAAACTTGACCGAATAACAAACAAATTAATAAAAATATAAATATACACTAATCCAATTAATGTATTAAATAATTGTGTATGTTAATTGTCAGATTATGGCAAAATTAACTACTCATGCGATTGATTAATTCAATCAAAGATTACTGTTTTCAAAGAGACGAGTTGTGAAACTGAATGGCACGAAAGACATAAGAAGAATTATGGCTGAATGGGATGAAAGACATGAGAAGAATGATGGCTGAATGGCATGAAAGACATGAGAAGAATGATGGCTGAATGGCACGAAAGACATGAGAAGAATGATGGCTGAATGGGATGAAAGACATGAGAAGAATGATGGCTGAATGGCATGAAAGACATGAGAAGAATGATGGCTGAATGGCATGAAAGACATGAGAAGAATGATGGCTGAATGGCATGAAAGACATGAGAAGAATGATGGCTGAATGGCATGAAAGACATGAGAAGAATGATGGCTGAATGGCATGAAAGACATGAGAAGAATGATGGCTGAATGGCATGAAAGACATGAGAAGAATGATGGCTGAATGGCATGAAAGACATGAGAAGAATGATGGCTGAATGGCATGAAAGACATGAGAAGAATGATGGCTGAATGGCATGAAAGACATGAGAAGAATGATGGCTGAATGGCATGAAAGACATGAGAAGAATGATGGCTGAATGGCATGAAAGACATGAGAAGAATGATGGCTGAATGGCATGAAAGACATGAGAAGAATGATGGCTGAATGGCATGAAAGACATGAGAAGAATGATGGCTGAATGGCATGAAAGACATGAGAAGAATGATGGCTGAATGGCATGAAAGACATGAGAAGAATGATGGCTGAATGGCATGAAAGACATGAGAAGAATGATGGCTGAATGGCATGAAAGACATGAGAAGAATGATGGCTGAATGGCATGAAAGACATGAGAAGAATGATGGCTGAATGGCATGAAAGACATGAGAAGAATGATGGCTGAATGGCATGAAAGACATGAGAAGAATGATGGCTGAATGGCATGAAAGACATGAGAAGAATGATGGCTGAATGGCATGAAAGACATGAGAAGAATGATGGCTGAATGGGATGAAAGACATGAGAAGAATGATGGCTGAATGGCATGAAAGACATGAGAAGAATGATGGCTGAATGGGATGAAAGACATGAGAAGAATGATGGCTGAATGGGATGAAAGACATGAGAAGAATGATGGCTGAATGGGATGAAAGACATGAGAAGAATGATGGCTGAATGGCATGAAAGACATGAGAAGGATGATGGCTGAAGGAAAAGACTTTGATTTTGTTAGAC